ATTTGAAATGTTTTTTTGTTTATGTTCTATTATGAATAAATTATGGGTTTAAGAAGAATATCCTCAAATCTTATTATTTACATTTTAATTCCTCCCAACTTTCAGGAATTGTGTTTGCAATTCTTTAACTTCCCAAACACAAACATGGTTTTACTGTAACTGCCCACAGCAGAGGGGTCACAGACTGATGACGAGGCTCAGATATTTTTGTGGCTTTTGTTGGTCAAAAACTGAAATTCAGGGATCCTTAAATAATAATGTGATTTTTGTTTGTCTCAGCAGACCAAGAGAGAACTGTGAGTCATCACACCGTCTTTGAGCCTTTAAAGTCAGCCTACAGCTGGTGTGACATCACACTAATGTTAGTAAACATGAGGCTGATATCCTTTCCTCTTGGTTTCATAAGAGAATGTAAATTTAAATCTTAGCTGCAGTGTTTCTGCTCGACCACAAGGGGGTGGAAGAGCATTAAAAGTGGGAGTGTCAGTTTCTACCAAACCATCAGCGTCTTTGGCCAGACTGACCCTCTGAGGTGTGGACCCACAGCTCTTCTGTTTCAGGCCTTTTCTGTGCGTCCAGCTAAGAGCTCAAAATCATCCATAAATGTTAAAACGTCAGCATCACATGACTGTCACATAAACGCCTTCGATAGAAACGCAGCCAAATGTGATAAAAAGATGGTTTTATTAATATCCACAGGAAATATAATCTGTAAGTTGTAATAACCATAGTACAATACAACAGTCTCTTTTACATAGAAAAGCCTGATGATATGCAACATGAAGACATCAACCATCGCACTGCTGACCATGTCCAAGGAAAAAAAAAGGCAAGAAGACACCGTCCAATCAGCAACGGGCACACAGGAGAAGGTTTTAGAAAAGAAGTGAGTCAGAGCTGCGACGCTCAGCCTTCTCACCCAAACTTTTATTTTGGATTCAAGTGGAATAAAAACCTGAAACGTCTCCTGTGAAGTTTCCAAAGAGTTAACGGATTAAACTTCCCCCGAGTTTCAAACAAAAATAACAGGAAGGATCTTCCAGCTCCAGCTGCGACGTTTGGGAAGAAAAACGTCAGAAGACAAATCTGATTTAGGTCCACAGGTTCCAACAGCTGAGTTTAAACCACCACCTGTGAGCGTGGGTGGGGGTCAGCAGACTTCAGTGATCTCAGTGTTTTCATTGGGGGCGTCAGACGGAGCTGAGCTTCACCAGCCCTCTGACGGAGTCCTCGTGCAGCGAGTCCTGGCTGGCCGGGTCGTAGAAGCCGGCCTGCGTGGTGTGGCTGTGGCCCATGGGGCTGCCGCAGTGAAGCATGCCGGGCGGCGACGGCACTTCCTCTGGCGTAAGGAAGTGGTGCTGGAACAACGACTCCTGCAGGGGGTTGCTGTGGTTGTGTGTGAGGGTGTGTCCATGGACCGGCAGCTTGTCGGCGGCCTCGTGGCAGCTTAAGCTGGAGGTGGAGGTCGGAGGGGTGGGCTGGCCGAGGGGCAGTGAGGTGCAGGGCCCCGTCAGGGCGAGGGAGGCGCGGCCAGGTAGCGTCCCTCCGTTTTCGGGGGATGTGGTTAGGATGACAGGCTCGCTGCTCTGGTGTTGGAGTAGCGGGGTGGCGGCGGCCTGCAAAACGAATTTGGTGCTCTGAATGCACTGGTCTTGGTCACACTGAGAGAAAGCACCAACGAGGAGAAGGGAGGAGGGAGGGGGTGTGCGGGTCAAAGCAACAGACATTGGGGGGGAGAGATGGCAGTGACGCAGAATTTGAAAATTGCAAAGAAGAAAACAAACGAAAGGAAGGCGTGAAGACGACAAAGGAGGGAAGGGAGAGAAAGAAAGAAAGAGAAGGTGTTAGTGTCCCGTTAGGATGCAGAGCCACAGCCGCTCAGCTCAATACACAGAGCTGCTATTAAGTCCCTGCTTCATGGCCTATTGATCGCCTCGCTGTGGATGTGTCAATAACGAGCGGTAACTGGGTTAGGACGCCGAGTCGGCGATAACACACATCAGCCACAGAGAGATTAGCTTTAACCCTGTTAGCCGTTTGTCACCACAAAGTCATCAATATTACAGAGCAGCTGCAGATGAAAAGCCCACAGGGTGTGAGAGGTACCAGAAATTAAAAGCATAATAATCAGGAAGAGCCCCGTGATGCAGCCTCCCACCCCACACCACCCCCAAAGCCTCACGGGGAGGAAATGGGAAGCACAGAGGTTCGTCCTCCACATCTCACCTTTCTGCCTCAATCTCACTGACCTGAAAAGAGCAGATTACAGACATGATGTAAACACAGGCCGAGCGACCTTTGACAGCAGAACAGATGTGCTTTTAAGTGTTATCAGTCCTCCATGTATCGACTTATGGAAGCTAGGCTCAGGTTGTTGCACTGCAACGACAGGAAACACGCTCACCTCCACGTTAGCGCCAGGCTACGTCATCGGTGTTTGATGGAAAATAGAGTGCTGTCAGGCTTTGTGAACACCGACTGACTCATTAGCAGCAAGGCAGAAACAATACCTAGACGGGCTGCTGACCACAGGCCGTGTTGGGCTTTCACATTCCTGTAATCCCAACATTCAGCCCACATTTACTCTGGTTTTGCCTCAGTAGAAGGATACTATGACAGGAAGACTGTCATTTCTCTGTTCCTGAGACGTCGTCAGGAGACGCACTGCTTTATTCAGATGTCCAAAAACTTGGATTTTCTCTGAACCACAGAGCACCAAACCTGAGAGTAATCTTTTGGTGTCAGTAAATCTGACCTCTACCGCTAATGTGCGAGCCTCTCTCCCCCTCTCAGAGTGACTCAGACACTGACGCCCTGCTGTAGGAGCACAGCAAGGTTTCTACAGGTATTTAGGACAGTTTTATTTGCCGTCACATGTCTCGTACAGCCAGGTAAACAGTTTTTGTGTCAGCTCTCGCAGCGTGCTGTACAAAGCTGATTCTACTTGTGTTTCATATTTAAACAAATCTGAAGAGGACTGGAGAGATTAGAGTGACGCGTGTTATTCCCGACAACATTAACGGATAACAAGTCACACAGTGGTCTGGGACATTCGAACATCTGACCCGAGCGCTTTAAAGTCCGGAGATGCTTTGTGAGATCTCCCCTCCTTAAAGTGGGAACTGATGTGAGCCTCTCAGGGAGGCCTGTGATGACTGCAGTCAGTCTCTCTCCTTTTACTGAGTCAAATCCAGAAAGCAGGGTTTGTTTATCAAAGTGCAATGACATCGTTTCACACGCAGTTACCGTGGCAACAGCTTAAAAAGTCTCCGTCGATTTAAAGCTGCATCACAAAGAAACAAAGGCGCGTTTGCCAACACGGAGCTAAAAATGCCCGGCTTAACGTGCGACACACACCAACAACAACATAACACACACACAACGACGTGGTTGGTGTGCACGCTCCGACCTGCCAACTGTTTGCTTTTAATCAAAAATCTGATTTAAATACACTAAAGAACTCGTTTACACACACACACACACACACACACACACACACACCTGGACAGCTACACGTTAAGCACTGACGGCGTCCAGGCAAACAGCCAGGACGACTGCGGCTGCTCATCATGACCGCTACAGGAGACAGATGGTGGTTATTTGTGGACGTGCTAACATTGGGGAATGTTCCCGTGGCTTTCAGCCCAACGGTCCATTCAAGAGATCATGACTGATGACGTCAGCGTTTAACATCTCTGTGAGAATAACCAGGACGAGGTCGAGCCTCTGTGCCAACAAGGACACGGCAGAGGGAAAGGTGTTCAGTAGCTGTGTGCGAGGAGGTAAACTGGACGCCACGAGTGTGTCGGGACTCAGCCTGACACTGCACAAAAACCTGTTCACGGCCTGCGGCGTGATTTCGATTCTCATCTTTTCATGAGCCTGCTGCAGTGATAGATGACAACCCCTGGCAAAAGTCAGCGAATCAACACATTTGGATGACGTTCATTCAGCCTCAAACACATTCAACACTTTTCTTTTTTTGGGCAGTAGAAGAAAAATAATGTTGGAATCACTTTGCGGTTTTCATTTCTATCTGCACAAACCTGAATATGAAAGAAGTCTGCAGAGCCAAAATAATGTTTCTTTGTTCCCTGATGATGTAATGTTTCATATCAAGGGCCAGATTTACTCAGCGGGTCGGTTAGGTGTGGTTAGTTTGGGTGACATACAGAAGTTAGTTTTCTAAACACAGACGAGCTTCATGTCAATATCAAGCACAAAAAATAAGACGTGCTTTTTTTTTTGCACCTGCTGGTGCAATTTGCAGTAAACTGCATCTCAAACTTTGTAACTCAGTTTAAACACTAATTAAATATTTTCTTCTCTATATTTTGTGCAAAGGAAACTCCAAAGACCGCGTCCCTGCCTCCTGTGGAATCTTGGCTCTGTGTTTGTCCTCAATACTGACAGTATTTTGTGTTCGTTTGTGCACAAAGTGTTGGCTAATCTGTAACATAACATAAACAGGTGACAAGGCATGAGCTTATAAGCACATAATGTGCAACAATTAAACTGTAATCAATCAGCTGTTTTAGTTTTTTTTATCATATTTAGATTCAGCACAACAGAATCCATTCGAATAAAGGAAATCATCATTTTTCCTTCACTTAATTTGGAATAAAAAGCATTATTCAAAATAATCTGACAGCCAGAATGTTCAGGTGTATTTAATAAAAACAACTGCAAAGTGAAAAAGTTGAACAAGCATCCTCCAAATGTGCCGATTCCAGGAGTTTCCGTAAGATTTCAGAGTGAGCGTCTTATGAGCAGCTGACCAGAAATCAGAGACTCCACATCAACATAACCCCCACCTGCCGACCTGATTTAAAGAAACACGACGTGGTTCGTGCAGACTCTGAGAACTCGCCTGCTGTAATCTAGAGCAGCTTCATCTATCTCAATCTAGCAATGAGAGACACTAACTGGATTTACTTTCCCAGACCAGAAAAAAACCAAGCTGTGTGTGATTCAGCGGCGTCCAGCCTCCGTGCCTGGGCCCAGTTATCCGGGCCAGCGCGGGATGCCTCTACATTCCTAAATCTGACATCATCATTAGAGAGTCTACTGTCGGCATCGTTCACGGCAGCCGCACGAGGACAGGACAACCTGATTCACGCCAGGAAACCAGATTTGTTCTACACGTGTGCGAAAACAGACGTACTTCCTGTCAATGCTAAAATTACAAAAATAATTAACTCATAATTTTTTTTTTCCCCCATGTAAGAGTCGGATTAAAACTATTAAAACTGTTTCTACCTGACAGCTGTAACTTTATATTACTGAAGCACGTCTCCCCTCTCCGAGTCAGTTTATTAGGACGTTTCAGATTTTACAAATAAAGCAACATTTGATCTTTATTGGTCTAATTCTCCAGCCATACACACTGATAAAATAATCTATGCTAGACCTCTACAATAATAATAATAATTATTATAATTATAAACTTCACAATTTGTGTACATGGATCAAAAAGTTCACTTGAAAAGGAGAATTTAGTTTGTTTAATTATATAAGAATTCCATATATAAGAAGCAAGAAAAAGTAATTAATTTTTTATTTATAACAATAATAAATATTCTATTTCATAACCAGTGAAATCAAAGTTAAAATTGTATGTAATGCTTAAACAAGCCATTTCACCTTACAGCAGTCAGTGTGTAAATGCTAAGGGCTTTTACTGTGAAAGGAAGGAACAGGAAGAAGGCCTTTTCACACGTGCAGAACAAATCAGGTGCAGATTTCAATACTCACTGCAACTTTATATAAACTCTCTAACGTTAGGAAGCAGCTTGAGGATAAAATGAACCTGAAGGCAGACTCTTTAAAGTCTTTTAGCTCATAGTTGCTGAAATCCTGCGTGCTTTATTATCCTGCTCTTTGCACAGGGTGGCTCTTATTGTGAAGCAGTTACAGGTATACACGTCTTATCAACATCATGACTGACAAAAAACATGAATTTCATGGTTTAGTTTATTTGGTTATCGTTTCACCATGAAAAGAGATGAAACACTGTTCTGTGCCATTTCTGACAAAGTGATGCATAAAGCTGCATTTGGAGGGGAGAGGGAGGTGGGAGGGGGGCGGTAGCGGCGTCGGTCGACAGTCTTACCGTGTGGCTCTGCTGAGACTGGGTGGAGCCATATATAGTGATACCATTGGTTGGTGGTGCCAACTGTGGCACGTCTGCCTCGACGAAGCCGCGTCTGTCGATGAGACTAATGAGAGAAAAGCCGAGAACATCGTTACCGTCAGCAAACATTACACAGCAAAGGTCACTCAGCAGCACAATAACACAACACACAGCTCCGACAGGCCCGTCCTGCTTTAACCAGAAAGGAAAAGGTCGAGTTGATCTCGCTGTGGGTCAGCAGACGACCAAAGAAAGAAACGGAATGAAACAAATGAACAAAAGAGCTTTGTCGCTCTAACAGAGGGACTTTTATTAAACTCTGACCCTGTGGTTTTACTGTTGACAATAAAAGCAAAGATAACTACTGTGTGCGGTGTGAACTATTTTCTGATACCACTGCTGCAGGTCAGGAAATACCAGCTTCTAAAATGATTTAAATACAGTCTCAGATGCACAACACATGACCCGTTCCAGCGTGTCATCATTTAACAAACGGCCCTGTGAAAAACTGAGCCCGCCCCATGATTCAGTAGCTTGTGGCGACACCTTTGGCTGCAGTAATTTACAGTAATGATTTTCTGTGACAGTGTTGTCCTCTTTCTTTGCAGCGTTGCTCTCAGTCAGTTGTGCAGACATGTTTATGCACAGCTCTCTGAAGGTGCCACTACAGCATTCAGTCAGGGTTGAGGTTGGACTTTCACTGGACCGTTGCTGCTGTGTGTGGGGTCACTGTCCTGTTGATGACCTCGTGCCGATACCCTGTGGCTCTGGGAACATTGCCCTCTGACACCCTACTGACAATCGGTCATGCTCGGATGCTTCAGATCAACAAACCACCAAAACTTCTGCTTTTATCAAAGTGCTCACACTGCTGGCTGTTACTTACAGAAGGGATGGTTTTAGTTTTTGTTAAATAATTACTGAGACCGTACTATGTCACCTGAGGTTGTATTTACCTCATTTTAAGAGCAGCTAATCTTATTATGTCCTGATATGCAGCACCTTGGAAGTGAATGAGGGCGCACTTTCTGTTAAGTGTGACTGTACAGTCGCTCATCTGTGGAGTGAACCATCATTTCCAACCCAAGGTTAATGCTGCACAGCTCTGCTGGTTAGAGAAGAACCTGCTGAACTTTGCACAGTGATGGCTCCGTGTGATGATAGGGGCTGTTTATCAGCCAAACACAGGCCGATCGGACACAGCTGAGGCATCAAGCTCGATAGGAATTTAACACAAAGTGCTGACGGTGAGCTCCAGCAGGACTGAGCTGGAATGAAGCAGAAACCTGCAGTTTGATGCATTTGAAAGTCTGAGTGGAGAATCTGTGCAGGGAGTAAAACACAAAAGGCTTTTGTCTCTGTGGGTCTGAGCTCGCTCAGTCCAAGAGGCAGGTGAGGCCAGCTGTGCGACACCTGTGGCGCCACACACACACACACACACACACACACACACACACACGGCAGCCACCTGTGAGCCGAGGACTCTCCTTTGCCACCCGCTGCAGCCGTTATGGGAGATGCATAGCTTGTGACGGCAAAAGCACAGAAGAGCCAAACACACTGACACATCATTGCTGTTCTTATACATGTGCATATACTGAGGAACTCTGCAGGTACTTAAATGCAACGTTAAAACCTGCAAATTCCTCAGGATAAAAAGATATTTGTGCTGTTCTGACAGAGTCGATCCAAGGTGGCGCCTCATTTCTAACCACCAAGCCATAAAAATCAGAGGAAACTGCGACTTCAGATTCACGGATGAGTAATGAGAATGGGCACTGGCAGAGACGGGTTTGTAAAGTAATGAATTTGCACAATAGTCACCATCTTCTGAAACATTAAAACCCACCACAGAGAAAACTTTGAATCTCTGTTAAACCCGCACCAGAGAAAAGAAACCGCAATAAGAACAAGGACGATGGAACTGGAAGAAAAACAAATGAGGAATGGAGACAGAATTCATCAAACTACCGATTCCTTGTTTCAGGCAGAATTTGCTTACCTACATAATCTTTATTCATGTAAATGATTGAGTCCAGTTTGCTTTCAGGACACTTTGTCTTTAAGCTTTTCAAAGGTTCGGTATTTAAAGGTGGACTGTGGTATACTGGGGAGACCTTTCACTCTCCTTTAGTGGAAAAATATGACAAGAACTAGAATTTGTAATCTACAAAGTAAGGAACATGGATGAAGTGTTTGACAGAACGTGGAGTTGTACGATGGGAAACTAAAGTAATGACTTGCTGTGTTGTTCCTTCATGTAATAAGTTTTAAAGGTTGTCCACATGTGCAGGCATATGAAGGAGCAGTATGTCGACATATACAGATGGGGAACTGAAATCTACCGTAGCACATAAGAACGATGCCGGGGAGCAACGTGCAGTCGCACAGACACGAGCTGACAGCTGCTCTGTGTTTTTGTTCAATCACATGGGCAGAAAAGTATAAAAATCTAATCAATGTGGGAAACTTTGATCTCGGATTTGGTTCAAATAGGCCTGAAATGCTTTGCAGTATCTTTGCTATGTTTAGAGAAAAGGCTGCAGGCAGGCTCATTTCACAGCAGCTCCTCACATCAAACACTTCTGAGTAACAGTTTTATTTTTGCCTCTGGAGAAAATGGGAAACTACGATGACACTGAGATGGCTTTTCCCCCCCAGAGCAGGGAACGATGGGCCCTTTGTCCTCATCTGACCATCGAGGAATGCGTACATCGCCTCACAGAAACACAAACACCCACACCCAGCCTACCTCGGTGGCAGGGGTCCACACAGCGCTGCGCAGCAGTTGGTGAATATGTTTCCATAGCTGTAGGGGTTATAGTTGTCCTTCCCTCTTTTAGATGACCATGAACCTTTTATCTGCAGAGATGCAAAGCTTCAGTGAGACAGATAAATATCCAAAGTGTCATCGATAAACAGACGCTGCTGTTTGTGTCTAGTCTGGAGCTCAAGTGTGCCGTGCGCACTTCTGTCCCGTGACCTTGAAAATTATCATCGCCATTCTCGAATCAGCTGAGCTCACCAGCGAAGCTCGAGCACCACTCACTCACAGTCTGAGGTGAAAAGGAGTTACAGCTGTGAGTCCATGCTTCTGTGCAGCTAATGAACACACACCATACAGATGAGCAAATAATCAGAAACTCCATTAAAAACGCTTCTTTTAAAAGGATTAAAATGCACACATCAGCGTGTTTGTAGTTTCCAGATTTTCAGGCTAGCAAGGAACCAACGTCACTGAGAACTTTAAAGAACGAATATTTAAAAGTATTTGCCTGTCATATGTAATCAGTCCACAACCACTAGATAAACATAAGACTAGAAAAATAAAGATAAAAAACACAGTGCTGAGGTCCATAAGGGAAGGGAAGGGAAAAGGGGGGGTGAAAAGGGGGGGGGCGGGCCGGCAGGCCAGTTGCCCGGGGGCCTTTTTTCGGTTTAAACCTTGAAATTCTTTGAACCGTTAAAAAATAACAACTACATGTGATGAGCTGGAATTTTAGAAGCTAATTTTGAATTGTATGCTGGGAATATGCTTCTGAAAAAAGTTGGGACGCGGACGTGTTTATGTTGTTTTTTTGCAGAATGTGAAATAAGCCACACCCACACTTCAGCATTAATGAGGCCATTACACGTTTGATTCAAGCTGCACCAACGCACACTCACGGTGTCGGCTCCTGAACTGTTCGCTCTCCTCTTTCCCAAATGGTCCAATTTTGTTACCCATAAATATTTGGTCCAGAGGTCAGTGTACTCAGTGACCCGATGGCTCAGGGCCAGCTACTGGCCTTATGTTACTTGTAAAGCAAACCGGCTTAAACAACTCATCAATATTTTTGATCATTTCTATCAGAATTTAAAATTGAAGAAACCGTTTCAGGAAAATGAAATAAAGAAACGTTGCTTAGTGTTGAGGAAACTGCAGGAAGGCGCCGCGTGTGCTGCAGGATGTGAGAACGAGCGTTTCCCCTCACATTTGTGACAACGAATAGAAAAGTGTTCTCTGTGAATAACAACTTTTCAAAGACTTGGCTTCTGTTTCTCCACAGTAAAAAGGCGATCACATGTGTACTTTAACATGGAGACGGAGCCTCTGTTACCATCCTGGGCTAAAATTCAAAGCAGCTGCTCAGTCAGCTTCAACATGAAGAAAAAGTCTTTCACGCATAAATTAAAATCAAGCCTAACCCTGCGAGCCCTCCGCTAAATATACTTAAAATCTTTCGATTGAAATGATTTGGCAGATGTAGAATATGACGATGAATAAAGACGCTGTGTTGTTGTACTATTACAAAAATGGGCTCGTCTTCTTCTCTCGGGCCAGTAAAGCTCTGATCCGCTGCCTCGGGGCTCCTGTGGGGAGCCCCTCCCCCACTGAGTCTAATCACGTTAATATCAAAACTAACGAGCAGTTCGACGCTGCAGCAGGTGTGACGCTTTAGTATCACACAACTTTTCTCGTGTCGTGTGCCCGCTACTTTCCAGTTGCTGGCACCGAATTGAAAATGAGTGAATGAACCAATAAAAAGATCAAATGGTTTTAGTGCCGTTTCAATTTAAACGATTGGAAAATAACATTTTATGGCGTTCCTGCCCTTTAAATGGAGTCTGTTAGCACACGACACGTGAACATTCTGCCTCGTTTCTGCAGCGTGTGGTGTAATGCACTTTGTGTCCATACTCACGTCTTCATTGGTGGTCTGGTTGGAGCTGATCAGGTAGGTATGGAAGCCTGAGAGGCCCACGATGGACCACACAGAGAAGAAACACACCACCACTTCCAGCACAGTGACACAAAGAAGTCAAGGAATAACTCTGCTGTGGTGTTCATGCAGTGACAGATGATAATATGAAAGCTCATACAACCCACGGAGCCAGCCCGAACACCGAGGTGCTGCCGTAGCCGCCCTCCTCTCGCCAGTGCTTCCCAGTTACCAGTTCGTTTGGCTCGTACTGCTCATTTTCTCTGCTCCACTGTTCGAGATGAATCCTCTACACAAACAAACACCGCTGACTCTTAATGTGCACTACCTCCAAGGATGACACATACAAATACCCAGACACCATAACTAAGTGCCTGAAGGGCTGCTGGAAAATGCTCAGTAGGTTAGCATCATACTGCATCCTCTCAGAAACTTTACATAATGCCCTCACGCTCTTCTTCTCTCGCCTCCAATCTCTTCCTCCTCAGCAAGGACAAAACATGTCATCATTCTTCGAGCACAAAGGCCTGCTGCGATAGTATCGACTGCAATTCAGCTTTATTAAAGCCCTGTAGGACAGCAGACTTTATCAGCGTGGCTTGGCACATTTCTCTGCCTCAGAAAGTTATCGCACTCAGGCACAGAGAGAAGGGCAGCGAGAGAGCGGCGGTGTGGCAGCCCGTGCTCTGAACCGGATTTGTGTTGTACACCGAGCACCGGGATCATTTAGAGCCGCTCTTCATTTCTACCTCTGAACGGGCTTATCAGTCCTGACCTCGCACGACCCCACGCCGTATTTAAGTGAGAGAAGACATCAAAATGTTTAAAGCAGAAGAAAATGCATTAAAGGGCTGCCAAAATAGTCACGAGCTGCTTCATGATTAAAAGCGAATAAAAGCGAGGCTCTGCTGCCTCCATCTAACCTTCTGCAGCAGAGGCCACATTAACTCCAAATCATCATGTGAACAGTTCACAGCTAAAAGGCTGCGATGAACCTCTTTGCTCAACTTTATCTGACTTACAACGGTCTAGACGTGGCTACAATAAACACAATAATTGTAACAACACCCACACACACACCGTCTGAGTCACATGACACAGCTGAAGAGCGACGCAGAGACGAGTCAGAGCCATAAAAATTTCGCTGTCCTGCGTGCCGCGTAAGCCCCGCAGTACAAGACTAATCAGATGCATGTAAGTCATGCAAGAGACACAGCTGGAGAAAATAGCAGAGCGATGGAAGGCATGCAGATGAATCTGACCTATGGAATAATCTGCATGTGTAACATCAGAGTAATCATTGGGAATATAAATGTTTGTGAGAACGCTGGCCGAAATTCAGGTTTATACAGAGCCAGTTCACCACAGCGTTCACCTTAAGGAATTTTATATAGAACAGATCCAACAACCAGAGCAGCGCTCGGCATCCTGGGAAGTCCCAGAGCAACCTGAGCCTCAGAAAGACAACCAACGGAGTCACCTGATCCATAAGCTTTAAAACAGAGTTTGAATCTTGAAAGTAGAGATAGTGTCTGCTTCCTGAATCCAAACTGGAAGCTGGGTCCAAAGAAGAGGGGCCTGAAAACTGAAGGCTCTGCCTCCCATTCTACTTTTAAATACTCTAGGAACAACAAGCAGGCCTGCAGAGCGAGAGCAACACGCTCTGTTAGGATAACAGTTACGAGTTACTGAGGTCCTAAAGATATGACGGGGCCTGATTATTCAACTAAATTCAGCCAATGCAGAGAAGCTAATTTGGGATAAATATGATGTCTCATGTTCTCTAGTCCCAGTTAGTGTTTAAGATCACATGAAGGTTTTTCTAGTCTGATGATGAATTACAATAACCCCCACGACAATAATCAGCAGTTCTCCAGCATCACTCAGGCAGATGTTGCTATTTTTAACAACGCTGATGAGATGAAGGACAGCAACGATACATGTGTGATTAACGTGACTGCTTAAAGAAATATCCAGGTTTAAGTCGACACCGACGTGGAACAGTGAAAGGATATCTGGCAGGACTGTTTTTGAGCGCGCTGAGGAAGCCGTTTTGATGAGAGCCTGTGAAAGGGAAAAACAGTTTCTGTTAGAGCAGCACGCAGCTCGTGTTTGCTGTTTGCAGAATGTGGGACTTGTATGAGATACTGAGCACTACGCCATTACCTGCTGCAAACACTGTCCTGAGTAAAGGTTAAGAGTTGACAAGAAGAACTGAGCTCAGCCGAGTGTGCCGCTTTAATTGGCTTTCCAATTTAGCTTCCAAGTGTGTAGAGAAGCGGCACAGAGCCAGATGAAGGAGCTGGCCCCCAGTAAGTGGTTATAGGGAGCATCTCTACCTACTGTGTTCTTCATTCATTCAGACTTACAAAGTGGATTAAAGGTTACAATCAGTATCTATGAAGGACTGCAGCCACCTGTATACCCACTCTGAGCCAGGAACATTTTTAATCATCCCTACAAGCTAATCCTGACCCACGCTGCTGTTCCCAGCACTCGCAGTCATGTATCCATGGCTTCAGAGGACATTAGTCCAAACTTCGTCTAACTGTAACTCAACCTTGAGCTAACTGCATGTAGCCTTTTAAATAAAAGGGAGATTGCACGTTAACATGAGCACGTAGGTCCATCTTGTAAATTTGCTGCAGTCCCTGAAGGCTGGTGAGGTCAGAATCATATGAATACCACAAAGACACGATCACTAAACCACAGATGATCTGTAGAAACAGTGACTTACAGGATGCTGTTTCACATTAAGACAGATTTAATTTTCCTCTATTGTTTGACAGTCTGGGAGAAAGATGTCAGAGATATGTCGTCAGCTGTGTGGGTTCAGTATTTTTCTCAAATCTATTTTACAGTCCTGTCTGGTAGATGTGGGCATGTTGTGATTCGCTTTAACAAACTCATCTAGAGCAGGTGGATGCCACGATATGAAAACTCAAACACAACTATTCTCCCAAATTAAGAAACACATGCAGATATAATTTTACACTGATATGAATCTGTTGCTTACAGATTCAGTCTGTTGATTGTAATGTTGTCCAAACTGGTGAGACACAATGTTGATGTGCAACTTTTTAGGCCTTGCTATTTACAATGTTACTAATGTCTAAAATTTGCTCAACAAAATTTGACACAACTTTTCTAACTTGTGTTTTAAAAGTAGGGCTGCCACAAACGATTATTTTGATAGTTGACCAGTCACCGATTATTTTTACAATTAGTCGACTAATCACATCATCATCCATTGGACGTAAAACGTACCGTTTATTGCACCAGCAGCATCTGCTCTTATATAACTATTATTAGCTTACAGCTTTAAGTGTTTAAGGTCTGTGCTAACTAAAAATAAAGACAAAATGGTAGTTTATTAAATTTTAATGAAATTTGCAGATTGTTTCGGTGAAGTTTAATAAACTCCTTGCTATCTAAAATATAACAGGACACCGGAGTAAATTCTCGAGCATCTCACACTTCTGATAATCAGCTGTCTGCTTGACGTTTATTCAGCTGTATAAAAACTTTAATCTCAGCCAAACCGATTTACTCAGGAACAAATAAAATAATGAAAAAAAAGCCAAACAATAACATTTTTAAGTTATCTAAATGACTTGTATATCATGTTTAACCTGAGTAGCGAAAGACAGCGGTGGGTTTGAAAACGATTTGCCGGGAGTCCGGTGTTCTCACGGGCTCTAGTGAGCCTTGACCCCGGCTCGCTATCGAGCTAGTGGGTAACAGACGTCTCCGAAAACGTCGGAACGCTTTTGAAAATATGTGGTGTCTTGATAAACTGAGCAGATATTTGAGGTTTACACAGTTACATTCTCGCCTGAAAACATGTTAAACGTTTATTTTGTGACCCAGAAAGAATAATAAGAGTAATATTAAAACTAACTAGCTGCTGCCATTGTTGGAAACTGAGCTGGGCTGCGCTATGAATTCTGGGTAGAGCTGGGCGATATGAGGTTTTTTCATATCACGACATGTTTTTTTCATTTCAGACGATAACGATATCTATCACGATATAAGCCAAATAACTATATTTGTAAGATTTAAATGTGCCGTTGCTCACAAGTAAAATGT